GCTCTTGAGCTGGAGGAACTGCGTCGGGAGCAAGCTGGTTATGAGCAGCAGATCCAAGCTGTGGAGGAGGCCATGAAAGCCATTCAGGAGCAGATAGACACCATGTCTTCTACAGTGTCTCAGAATAAGGTACAAGACTTCACTAATTTACAATTTACTTGTTGGTAATTCTAGAGTTTTCTTTATCGTTTGTGTATTTATAACAAACTCCATGTATCTCATTGCTGGGTCTCAGGATGCAGTGCGTAAAGCCCAGGAAGAACTGGCCAAGCAGAAGGAAGTGATTATGGCTCAGGACAAAGAGCTTAAGGTAAAGTTTTTCTGTTCAGTAGACTAATATGTTGTGGATCACAAATGCAACACAGATGTAACTGACCTTTTCATTGAAACTATACAGGTGAAAAGCTCAGAAGCAAATAAAATCAGAGAGCAGAATAACGAGGTGCAACTCAAAATCAAGGAAATGGATCACAATATCAATAAACACCACAAAGAAAGCCAGGATGCCGCTGATAAGGTAGAAAAGGCCACAATCTTGTTGGTCTGCACTCACTGAAGGTACATTTAAACATGTATATATGTTTCTCATGGCTGTTATTTGACAGGTGTCCCGCATGCTGGAGGAACATGACTGGATACAGTCAGAGCGCCACTTATTTGGTCAGCCAAACTCGTCCTATGACTTTAAGACCAACAACCCTCGTGAGGCTGGTCAGCGTCTCAAGAAGCTGGAGGAGACCACCACAAAACTGGAAAGAAATGTTAATAAGAGAGCCATGAACATGCTCAATGAGGCAGAGGAGAGGGTGAGTAATTAAAAATCATCTATGGCTAGGAACAGATAAAATGTGGTTAATTTATTTTATTTGTAATTATTTACAGTACAATGAACTGATGAAAAAGAAAAGGATAGTGGAAAACGATAAAGCCAAGATCTTACAGACTATTGAGGAGTTGGACCAGAAGAAAAATGAAGCCCTTAATTTGGCATGGCAGAAGGTTTGCTATTTTTTTTCTGTATTGTATAAACCAACCAACTTCAACCATTCAATGTCCCCTCAAATGTATTGTGTCCTTTTTCAGGTCAACAAAGACTTTGGCTCTATTTTCTCCTCTCTGCTGCCAGGAGCTACAGCTAAACTAGCCCCCCCACAGGGATGTGGAGTCCTTGAGGGTCTGGAGTTTAAAGTTGCTTTGGGCAACACATGGAAAGAAAACCTGACTGAACTCAGTGGTGGACAAAGGTAAACAGAAGAATCACAACATGACACATTCAGAGCCACTTATATTGGTGGCAGTGTTATACCTAATTAGTTTTTGTGCCATTTAGCCTGGTGAGTAACCACATTCCAATCTCTACTAAATAAATGAATGTGGAAAATGTTGGCCGACGAGGAGTGTACACTGCACACATCTTGTTCAAGTCAACTGTGATCTTTCCAAAAATAGCTTATATTTGGGTCTTCTGTCAGTGTTACAACTCTTTACTCATTATCCAGCACCCTACATTGAGTTTTACAAAGTTGGTGTATTAAAATATAGCCAACAGTTGCACCAACACTAACAGTGAGATGATGACCACGTTCAAAATATGTATCCTTTTCTAGATCGCTGGTGGCCCTGTCTCTTATTCTGGCCATGTTGTTGTTCAAACCTGCTCCCATCTACATCTTGGATGAGGTTGATGCAGCTCTGGATCTTTCACACACGCAAAACATCGGACAAATGCTGAGGACTCATTTCAGGCACTCCCAGGTTTGTTTGACAGTAATGTCTAGTTGTCTGTATTAATATTTCATACTATTGTTTCTAATTCTGTTGTGCTTGTTTTTGTATAGTTCATTGTCGTTTCCCTAAAGGATGGCATGTTCACCAATGCCAATGTGTTGTTTAAAACCAAGTTTGTTGATGGTATGTCTACGGTGAGCCGATCTGCACTCAGCCAAAGCGACGCAAACCTTCCTCAAAAAGGTCAAGACAAGTCTCGCCAAAAGGACAAGCAGAGAACCAAGTCCAGAGATGTCATTTAAATCTGGTGTAAATGTGTATCTTTTCTTTTTTCCCAAACTACCAACTGATCAATATCTATTTTCTGAAGCACTTCATATATTTACTGTTTATATGTTTGTCTGATTAAGCATTTTATAACCTGTACATTTTTTAAACTCATCAGTAAAAAATGAATGTAAAAACAGTCCTTGCATGTCATTTTTATCAAACTAAATACTATAAATTCAGACAAATATATTGCAAAGATGCTTTATTTAAATCCTGGGTATGCAGTCACAAAGGCAAGGTTTTCCAATCGAATTATGGTAACCCTGTTCTCGCACTTACGTGACTGGTTCAGTTCCATTTTACCATTACTCCATTTGCAAAACATGATAATTACAATAGCCTAAACATTAATAGTCCACAGTAGTCAAAACTTTAGGTTAAAATGAGTGTCCTGAAACCAAATTTATCTATGAATATTTTCACTGGTAGTTTGTCTCAAGTTATAAGTTCATATTGTGCATGGTCAGTAAGCACTCTGCTAAAAGACAACATGCAGATAACACAAAGTATCCTAATCTTGACAATGGAATCAAATAGGACGCCTGTATGACCGTTGTAGTTGCGCCCCCTCATGGTTGGCTCTGGATGTGCCGGCGTAGCTCTTGAGCTTTGTCTCTCAGATCAGGTCTACTGTCAGACTGCAGTGTGGAGAGGGAACGCTGAAGCTGCTCTCTGCTTTTCACAGACATACACTCCCATTTTTCATTTTCTGTCGGCAGCAATAAAACAATGAGCAAAACAGTACAAAATATAATGCAATACACCAAGTACTTTAAATCTTGTTGCAGTTTACCTCCAGTTCTTTTTACAATCAGGTCCACTACTGACAACGCTTCTGTCCGCACTGAAGAGTAACTTCTGTTTTCTAAAAGAAAACACAAATAATCAATTTGGTCTCTGCTAAAAACAGTTCCTTATGACATTGTAGTTACCTAAAGGATATGTAAGAGCTGCACATGTTTCTGTAAGTATTTGAGTTAGGGCATTCACGTCTTGATTACTTTTCTCCAACAGCAGTAACCTGCAGTAAAAAAAAAAAAAAAATTAGTTTATTTTGAATCTTGACACTTGATGTAGTCATGAAAAAAATGATTATTTACTCTTGGAAAAAGGCCTTCATGCAGCTTAAAATGGCAAGCTGGACCTTCCATGTGTTCAACTTGAGGTTTTCACACATTATACTGCAAACCTCCACTTGATAAGAAGCTGCAAATAAAATATACATTTAAAAGTTCTAGATTGTAAATGAAACATTTTAATGGGCAAATAGAAGAAGAGTTACCCTGAGTCTGTGGATTTTTGGGCCAAACTTTTCCTAGAGTTTCAAAAGCACAGAGCAGAACTTCTGTCTTGAGCTCCCTCTCTTTTCTGTCAGTGTCATCATCATCGTCTTCCTGTGATGGTTTTGATGTGCCAAGACTTTCTGGACAACTCTGTTCAGATTTTAATTTACACTATCAATATATAGTTTTATGTGGACATAAAAAATACACTGCATAATATACCTTCTTGATGAGAGGCAAAAGTATCTCTGCCATTATATCAAAAGAGTCCTCTTGGCTGCTGTGGAGCACCTCTCCAGCGCAGCGCAGAGCAGCCATTTTGTACACGAGACTCTCTTTACGGCATTCTTTCAAAACAACGTCAAGGACCTCAGAGATGGTCGGCTGGCCTGGGCAGGGTTTCTGTAACTCCAGGCTAAATAAAGACAATCATATAAAATATTTGCAATCTTATTAAAGTAGTCATGCTTAGTTCAGGTCAGTCACCTGCATTTTGATACGACTGATCCAATGGCTTTCAACAATTCCTCCTGTACCATAAAGAAGATTAAATTATTAATTGTAAGATTAAAATTAAATTATTTTACTTTCTAGAAAGTTTCCTTTCTGTTCTCCGTACCTTGCCAGCCCAGGTTCGTCCCGCCAGGCCCTGCATCAGAGCGGTGAGCACCAGACCGAGGTGTGGGGCCACCAGCGAGCCCGTCTGTTCCTTAGCAACAGTTGCCATGGCAGCAGCACCCTGAGCCTTCATCTTCCATGACTGGGACTGAAGCGCCTTTTGAGTTATATCAATAAGCTCTGTCATATACAGTCTGATGCCACCGAAACTCCCTAAAATACACAGATATTAGTCATTTGAATCAGAAGAACAAATAAATAATTTCAAATAAAAAATGGAGTAGTAACCTGGTACATTATCCTGCCAAACTTCAGCCCATAGTGTGGCATCATGGCTCTCTCCTTTTTCCTCATCAGGACCAGGAGCCTGATGCATCCCCAGAAACGCCAAAGGCAAAGCAACTCCTGCGTGGCCCTTCAGCACATCAGGACTGTAGTGGCTGATGGCATGAAGAGTCAAAGCACAGGAGGACTTGTAGACTGGCTCTGGAGGATACACAAAGCACACATATAATACAATAAAAGGTGCACTGGGTAACTTTTCTAGAGAGAGTCCACAACCTGTTTGTCTCCATGGAGATGTTAATGCTTCAGTTTAAATTGTCTACAGTATGGTATTAAACTAATCTGCCTTGCATTTATTCAACTACATGCGTTATTTATTGCTCAAAAAGATCTTTAAAAACATATTAATTCTTAGTGTGAGTGGGGTCTTCTCCACAGATCAAATCAAATAACCTGTTGCTCCATGGAGATTCCATGGAGAAGTCTATGGCCATACTGTGGAACATTCTAGGCACATCCCCATGGAGACAAACAGGTAACAGACCCTCCACCAGACAAGTTACACAATGCACCTTTAAATGAGAATGTCTCTCCCTTTTAAATATTTTTTAAGGTATTGGGTATGTATTTCTCACCTTCTTTCTCCAAGTACCAGGAGTGTAGCTTCAGCAACAGTTTCTCTACGCTGCTGTCCTTTGCTGTCTATTCCAGTATAAGGGTATACAGTTGTTAAAAAAAGACATTGAAAACAAAACAATGTGAAATACAAATGTGTGCTTACCCTAACAAGATGTCCAAGAGCAAAGGCAAAGGTCTTTTGTATAACACTACTTCTATCATGAATGCCATTTAACAGGGCACTCATCAATTTACCTGGAAAAAAAAAAATCCAATAACTGGTTTTAGCTTTCAGTCTCAGTGTGGTGTATGATTTAAAAAGTGTAATAATTACTGCACCTGAGTAAGGGGTGAGGTCATGGGGACATTGCACAGTTAAAGAAACTATGACACTTGCACAGCCACCCTACGCAGTAGACAGAAGCTTAGGTCATTAAATACGGCTACAAGTTTTTAGGGTCAAACTGCATCTCTGATTTATCATTATTGTTTTTTTTGTTTTTTTTTACCTTGGTGCCCAACCCTACTCCACTCTTCAGGAGCTCACAAAGTCTGGGGACCAGCTCTCCAAGCACTGAAACATCTAGGTGCTGCAGACACTGAACACACACAATATATATTAATACAGCACTAGTTTCTCAGATTAAAACCCTATTATAAGTCCCCTATAAACTAACCAGCGTTACCTACCATATTAATAGTCTCCATCATTGGGGATGACTTGGCAGCACTGAGTCTTGCTGCATCCATGGCACTCTACAGAAATCAAATCAAGTCATACATGTGTATACAGAAAGTCTGGAATAGAAAGTTTTATGGGAAGTCAAACAAAAAACTTGAACTAGACGAAGTTATACCTTTTCCTGTTCAGTTGCTCTAAGGCTGAGATAGTTGAGGACTTGTGGTTCCAGAGTTGTCAGAGCTTCGAGAAGAGCCGGGATCAGTCTCGCAGCATGAGGCTTTAGTCTAGCACCAGCTGTTTTACTAATCTTCACCAGGGTCTGAATACTGATCAAACACAACATGGGAAAACAATATATCAAGTCATGAAGTCATTCATTATATCTGCATATTATAAACCATTACCTCAGTGAGCGCACTTCTGAGACACTGCTAACAATGCCTTTCTCCAGTAGAGTGGGCAACAGCACAGACACTGTCTTCTGAGCTCCAGAGCCAGTCGACTCACACATACGAATACACACCTTAACAAGAGAAAATGTGACTCACAAAACAATAGGACATTGATATGGGAAATCAAAACTGTTTTAATCACCTTACTAAGTGTCTTCAGAGTAAGGTCGGCTGCTTTGCGCACAGATTCCTGAAACAAATTTTAGTTTTAATTATGGATCTCAATGATGTCTTATGAACTGCAAGTACAGACATTTTACAAACCTTAATATCATCAAGGACTCTGAACAGTGTCTCCCACATTTCTGCTAGATGTTCAGTGAGGTCATCTGCCTGTCGACCCCTGATCAGATCATTGAGGGCTAAACAGCTGCAATCAAAATGTATTAGGTTAGAAAACATGGGCTATTAGTAAATATGAGCAACAAGATTTGTGTACCTGGACTCTCTTATTCTCCAAGTGGGGCTGGTCAAGTTGGAGAGGACATCCTGCAGAATTTCCTTAAGGTATTTATCCACCTGAAATAAACAGGAACATTGAAGATTTGAATGTTGCAAAGTGTGACTAATATGTCACCAGAGAGATATAACTAAAACACAAAATGTAATAATCATGTCCTACCAGAGTTTTATCAGTGACTAAGGCATCCCAAATGCTGGTCATGGCCTGGCGAATGCTGAGGTTTGGGTCAAACTGGTAGCGATAGAGGCGGGGCACAAGCTGTGGAAGGAAAGGGGCCAACTGTTCTCCAGCTTTAGCTGCAATCATGTGGAACCCAAAGGCTGCTCCCTGAAAAGGAAAGTCATTGTTAATTACCATGATAACTACATTCTAAAAGTGTCTGTAGGGTACATACCTTGCGAGAGTTCCACATGGCATGATGATTTGCCAGATTCATAAACTTATAGACAAGGTCAGGCTGATTTAGGTCGCTGGCTAAGGAGCAGAGCTCCTTGTATGTGGATAAGCCATGGCTTCAGGAAAAAAGGGGGCATTCAGTTATTATCAATATTTTCAATGCCAAGACTGGGTAGTTAACACAAATGAATTGATACATTTTCTTACCCATCAGGTGTTTTACCCAAATTCTCCCCTTGGAAAACTTCTGTATCTTCACTTACAGTGTGTTTCACTCTAAACATAATAATAATGAATATTGTGCTGTACAAGCCTAGATGGAATTTGATAGTAATGAAT